CTTCAATATTGTCCTTGAATTTCTAGCTAGAGCAATAAGACAACAAAAGGAGATCAAGAGGATACAAACTGGAAAGGAAGAAGTCAAACTTAAACTATTTGCAGATGATATGATAGTCTACATGAGTGACCCGAAAAACTCTGCCAGGGAACTCCTACAGCTGATAAATACCTTCAGCAAAGTGGCAGGATACAAGAGTAACTCAAAAAAATCTGTATCATATACAGATGATACATCCGTGGAGAAAGAAATCAGAGAAACATCACCCTTTAAAATTGCCACAAACAACATAAAATACCTTGGGGTAATGCTAACCAAAAAAGTGAAAGACCTGTACCATAAGAATTTTGAGTCTCTAAAGAAAGAAATTTAAGAAGATAATAGAAAATGGAAAGATCTCCCATGTTCTTGGATCGGTAGGATCAACATAGTAAAAATGGCAATCTTGCCAAAAGCAATCTACAGATTCAATGCAATCCCTATCAAAATCCCAGCACAATTCTTCACAGACCTTGAAAGAACAATTCTCAACTTCATATGGAAAAACAAAAGACCCAGAATAGCCAAAACAACCCTGTACAATAAAGGAACTTCTGGAGACATCACCATCCCTGACTTCAAGCTCTATTACAGAGCTATAATTGTGAAAACAGCTTGGTATTGGCACAAAAATAGACAGGTAGACCAATGAAATAGAGTTGAAAACACCAATATTAACCCACACACCTATGAACACTTGATTTTTTACAAAGAAGCTGAATTTATATGATGGAATAAAGAAACCATCTTCAACATTTGGTGCTGGCATAACTGGATGATGGCATGTAGAAGACTGCAGACAGATCCATGTCTATCACCATGCACAAAACTTAAAGTCCAAATGGATCAAAGACCTCAACATAAATCCAGCCACACTGAATCTATTAGAAGACAAAGTGGGAAATACCCTTGAATTAATTGCTACAGGAGATCTCTTCTGAATATTACACCAGTAGCACAGACACTGA